CTTGATTAACTTGAACTCAGAAATTCTGAGCGCTTGGGGGAAGTTTATTTATTTATTTATTTATTTATTTATTTATTTTGCAAATCCCACTGTGGCATTCAAAACACACCACGAGTAGTTTTATTTTACGTGCAGGTTCCCTTTGGGGTGGGGTCCTGTGTCACCTTGTTTCTCACACCATGATCCTCCCCTTTCAGGCAGCGACGGAGCCGGATGCCGACAGACGGGGGTACGCAGGTGAGGAGCAGGGACTGTGCCCCAGCACGTGTGGGGTGCCCCTCACTGTGTGGCATTGTGAGGGGTGGCTTCAGTCACCATCCTTGGAACAAGCTGCCTGGAGCGGCCGTGAGAGCCACTGATTCACCCTGCAAGGCACTGCAGGGTTGGAGAGCCCACTTTGGGCCTGGGGGAGCTCCTGTGGGGCAGTGTGAGGGGAAGGTGAGGGGTGGGAAGGGATCCTGTGAACTGGACGCTCTGCAGTGCTCACATGGCCACGGCACAGGGTGTGGGTGGTGCTGGGGCCTCTGCTCTGATGCCTGCCCTGCTCCCTGCAGTGTGGGTGTCTGAGATCATGCTCCAGCAGACACAGGTGGCTACAGTGATCGACTACTACAACCGCTGGATGCAGGTGACTGTTCCTCACAGAGTCCTGTGCCCGCAGGCTGCCCCTTTTGGAGAACATGTCCACTGCCTGTGGCAGATCCCCAGCTGCAGAGCACAGCTCTGCTTGTCCCTGACTTGTCCCCTTCCCTCTGTACCACAGAAATGGCCAACACTGCAGGCTCTGGCACAGGCATCCCTGGAGGTGAGTGCCACTGGGACCGGGTGCTCTCCCTGCCCTGTGGCTCTCCATTAACACTGTGCTGTGTCTCTTGGAGCAGGAGGTGAACGAGTTGTGGGCTGGGCTTGGCTACTACTCGAGAGGGAAGCGTCTGCAGGAGGCAGCAAGGAAGGTGCTCTGGAGCTGGGGCGGGAGGGCATTTCCAAACCCCTCTGTGGGTGGTGGGTTGGTGCTGGCTCACACCTGCCCTGCCTTGCTGAGGCTGTGAGCTGCTGGCACGAGGCTGCACAGGGTGGCATCCCATCTTCCTGTGGGCAAAAGGGGTTGCCTGCATGTACCCACCCCAGCTGCTTCCCAGACCTCAGCTCCCTCTCTGCCAGGTGGTGTCCGAGCTGGGTGGCCACATGCCCAGGACGGCTGAGGCCCTGCAGAAGCTGCTGCCGGGAGTGGGCCGATACACGGCGGGAGCCATTGCATCCATCTCGTATGGCCAGGTGAGAGCTGGGCATCACTGGACATGTCTCCCCTCTTTGCCACCCAGCCCCACTGCTGGCAGGGTCCTGCTGCTGGGATCTCACTAACCAGGGGCTCCTCCTCAGGGCTGTGCTTGGCTCTTGCTCTCCCCTCACTTTGGGGTGCATCTCACCCATTGCCCAGCTTGGCCTGTGGGTTGGCCTCTTGTGTGTCCCTCTCCATCCTGGGAGCACCCCAGCTCCCTGCCTTACTTGGAGCGCATCCCAGCATGGTAACCCCAGTTCCTGGTCCCAGGCTACTGGCGTTGTGGATGGGAATGTGATCCGTGTGCTGTGCCGCCTGCGATGCATCGGTGCCGACTCCAGCAGCCCGGCCGTCATCGACCGGCTCTGGTAAGGGGAGTGCTCTGTCTCTGTTTGGAGCTGTGGTGATCATGGCCAAGCACAGGGTTACTCAGGAGCCATGGGGAGCTGAGCCTGTGCAGGGAGAGAGGCATGGGGTACAGGAGCTGTTGGGAAGGTGGTGCTGCTGGGAGTAGTGGAGAAAGGAGCTGTGTTACCTGTGCCTACATAGGAGC